TGCGCCAGTGCCCGGGTGATTACTGAATCTTGCCAGGACAGGACAGGAGATCGCTGGGCTCCAGGAGCAGTCGTGACTGCATGAGGCCTGCTGCTAAGTGAGATGGGGCAGTCGCAGTGACTGCTGCCCCACACCGCTGAGAGCCGGCATGTTCCTTGTGTTCCTCGTCACAGGGTCCCTCTGTCTCCAAGCCAGGGACGATGAGATGAATCTTCCTTGTGTTGGTTATCTGGTTTTCTCTTCTGTCCCCTGCTAGACAAGGTGCTCTGCTTCGAGGTAGGATATAATTGATGATATAATTTTTTTTTTCTTTTTTGTTTTTACCGGTATCAGGGATCGAACTCAAGACTGCACACTTGCAAGGCAGGCGCTTATGCTGCTGAACTAAATCCCCAGCCCCGATGATATAATTTTTTTGCAGTACTGAGAGTTGAATTCAGGATCTTTGCACTAAGCTACATCACCAGCATTTTACTTTTTAAATTTATTTTTATTTTTTAAATTTTGAGACAGTGTCTTCCTATGTCACTAAGTTGCTCAGGCTGGGCTCAACTTGGATCCTCCCGTCTCAGCTTTTGAGGGTGCAGGGATTACAAGCTTGTGCCCCACACTGGGCTGTGGTTGCCCATCTTAAAGTCAGCTGTGCTGCATAACATGTGATAACCGAGGATGTGATGGCTCCTCACATTCATGGCTTTTGCATATCAGGGTACAGTATTTTTGAGAGGAGCCTACTGTAAAAGATCACAGTTCTCATGTTTAATAACTTGCCTAGTCTTTACTAGTTAGAATATGCTTGAAAATTACAGCTATAACAAAATGAAACATGCCAGATAAAATCTGGAGATGATGTGGGCACAGTGTGAGTCTAATGGAATCAGTTTATTTCTATGACCTGATATTAGAGGATGGTTTCACTTGCTATAGGGTAGCCTTTTTGGAAGATACTGCCCCAAAACCAGGCAGACCATCGCTTCCATCCTTTAGCACAGATTCTATTCTTTTTTTTTTTCCTGATTTTGTTTGTTTGTTTTTTCAATAGGATTATGCTATATAGTTCAGACAGGTCTTGAATTTACCACGTGACCCAGGCTGGCTTTTTTTTTTTTTTTTTTTAGGCAGGGTCTTGCTGTGTAGTTCCGGCTAGCTTTGAATTCACTGTGTAGCCCAAACTGGCCTTGAACTCACAGCAATCCTCCTGTCTCAGCCTCTAGAATGCTGGAATAACAGGTATGCACTGCCACACCCAGCTTCAGTCTGGTTTTGAATTTACTATGTAGCTCAGGCTGGCCTCGAACTTGTAGCCATCATCCTGCTTCAGCCTCCCAAGTGCTGGAATTATAGGCTTGCAACATTGTGCGTGGCTCCAGGCTGGCCTTGAGCTTCTGGTGATCTTTTTGCCTCAGCCTCCCGAGTGCAGGAATTACAGGTGTGCTCTACCATACCTGGCTTGTCGTCTTTTCTGAGATAAGGTCTCACTGTTTTGTCCAGGCTAGCCTCAAACTCCTGGCCTCAGGAGATCCTCTTTGCCACAGTCTTTTGAGTATTTAGAATGACAGGCACAAACCACCCCATGGCCTGGGATACTTAGTAAGTTCAAAGCTAGCCTAAACTACATGGCGAGACCCTGGCCATTCTTTAAAGGAATGAGGCTGGGGAGATGACTAGACTGGAAAGAACACATAAAGCAGTAGAAATCCCAGGCCTGAGTCAGGTGTGGTGGCTCATGCCTGTAGTCCCAGCACTCAGGAGGCTGAGACAGGAGAATTGTTGCAAGTTCAAGACCAGTGTAGGCTACAAAGTGAGCTCAAGGCTAGCCTGAACTGTGTAGAGAGAGACCCTGTCTCAGAAAGACCAAAAGAAAGAAAGAAAGAAAAGAAAAGAAAAAAGAAATTCCAGGCCTGAAAGCACATTTGAAACCTCACTGCCTGCTTGTTCATTCATTATACAAGTATTTTCCTGAATGTTACTGTGTGGCCAGGCACACACCAGGCCCTGGGTATACCAGTATCCCAAGTGGAAGCGCCCAGAGGGAAAGCTAGGATGCTGTGCAAGAGAAGGGAGAAAACTGACTGTAGCCTAGGGGTGAGGACGTCTAGACCAAAATGTGGCTTAAGAGCCAGGTGGGCCAAGAGTCCAGGCAGGTAGACCAGGAAAGGCCTGTGTGCTTTTTTTTGAGATAAGTTCTTGTCACCATGTAGTCTAGGCTAGGCTTGAACTCACTAGCTCAGGGTGGTCTTGAATTCACAGCAATCCTCCTGCCTCAGCCTCCTGCGTGCTGAGATTATAGGTATGAACTACCATGCCCAGCAATCCTACGTTTTCTTTTCTTTTTTTTTTTTTTTTATTGGTACCGGGGATCGAACTCATGACTGCCTGCTTGCAAGGCAGGTGCTTATGCCGCTGAGCTAAATCCCCAGAACCCAACTCTTAACCCAGCCATGAGGCCAAGGTAACCGTGAGCATACACAGGAGCTCGGGACCAAGAACCAGTGGGGTGGCAGGGGCCACCGTTGTCAGATGCGGAGTTCACTCCACGTCTGCTGAATTCCTGCCTTTGTGCTTTGTAATACCAGAACCTTCAGAAATGACACCCAGCATCCTGTAATTCCCAGACTGTCCTTACTGTCCATGGGAGTTGGATTCAGGATCTCCTTGGAGTTCCAAAATCCAAGGATGCTCAGATGCCTTTTATAAAATGGTACAGTATTTGCATACAACCTATGCACATCATCCTCTATGTTTTAAATAATCTTTAGATTACTTATAGTACCTAAGTGCTGTGTAAATTGTTGTTCTGTAGCATTTAGTTTTGAGGCAGGGTCTCGATATGTAGTTTATGGTAGCTTGGAACTCACTATGTATCCAGGCAGACCTTGAACTCATGGTGATTCTCCTGCCTCAGCCTCCCAAGTGCTGGGATTACAGGCATGTACCACCACACCTGGCATTCCTGGATATTTTAACTTTGCAGTTGGTTCACTCAGTGGAGGCAGAACTCAACAGTTAGGGACGCTAGCTCAAAATCCTGTGCAGTCCCTCCACTGGAGGCAGTGAGGTACCAGGTTCATAGAGATGTGGTACCATAGGGAAGAAGGTAAAGACACTCTCCTGGTCTCCTGCCTAAGCTGCTGATTGGCATCCCTTTCCCTCTGTGAGTGGATCGGTGGCCGAGGGTACTTAGCTGTGAGAGCATCTGCAGCTCTGCTAATTCAGGTTCACATGGCTCAGGTCATGGACAAATCACAACTGCCATCCCTATTCTGGGACAGCAAGTCACCTGCCCACCATCAGGCTGGGAGCACTTCCTCTCTGAACTTTGGCTTTTCTCAATGGTGGGAGGGCACCTGAGCATTCTTGTCTGTTAAGGCCACTGTTCAGTCTGGAATCCAATGGATGAGTCGCAATTTACTGTTCTTTCTCTCCTAGGGCCAAATGGCTAAGCTGGTTAAAGCCAGCACCATTCAGAGGCCTGCTCTGTCCTCCTTGAGCGAAAGTAAATCATTTGTCTTCTGTAATTTAGAACGGAATTGGCAGCAGCTCTATTTTCACCTGCCCTGTCATTTGTGAGGCTGGTAGCCTAGAGGTAGGGTGTGGAACGGAGCCATAAATTCCCCTGGGCATGACTAGAACCACCCATTTTAGCTGTAATTGCACCTTCCCCGCTCTCCCTTCTGCCCCTGCCCCCATTGGAGTGCGGAGGAAGAACTGCACAGAGTGGGTGGGAGAGGGCTTGCTGATTGATCACTTCGGAGGCTGGAGGCCTTTTCTTTTCCCATCAACATTTCTCTCTTTCCCTCCATGCTTCTATTTTAAGTGCCTGTTTCTTGCTGGTTTTGTCTTGCTGCAAACTGGCCCAGTTCCACTCAGTTTTTTTTTTTTTTTTTTTCCATGCTGCTATTAAAAGACAATGACCATTAAGAACACTCAGAGCAGGGGCAGAATTGAGGGCAGGAGCCCTCTTGGTTCTAGTACTCCCAGGCAAATACCGATTCCAGCTCTCTGGATTAGAATAAGACAAGTTAGTTTTATTAACACAGAGGAGAACCAGTCATGCACTGTTAGATCCTGAAGTCTGTCTGTCCTGAGCTTGGATACCAACAGTCCTGAATCAGAGATCCCTTTTGTTTTGGGTCTCTTTACTGAATTCTTGACACTTTGAGGGACATGTCTCTTAAGTTTTATTTATTTATCTCTATTTTAAAGAGAATAAAACAAAACAGAACAATGGGAATGGTACTGGATTTCAAAAACAAGATAGGAAATCAAGCATAGTTACTGTGATGGGCATTGTTTTTCTCTAAATAGATGCTCAGACCACCAGACACAGGCATGCAAAGTCAGTCAAACAGTGCAAGCACTAATTTGCCATTGTCTCAAAAATTTCAGGTGTGCGGCTTCTAATCCCTCTATGTCTGTGTCTCCTGGGCTTGTTCTGGATGGGACACAGGCAAACAGAATTAAACAGCAAGAGCACTGAGTTTTTCTTCACTTCAGTTGCTGTCATCTCAGAATTTCAGGTGTGTGACTTCCAGCCTCCGTGTGTCTGTGTCTCCTGGACTTATTCTGGTGGCCGGAGGTCTGAGATTGTGCCTTGCTCCTTTGTCTTGACATTTTCCTGTTTTCTTCTGAATCGACTGGTTGCTGAGTCCCAGGCTTTTCCCTCACTGGCTGCCCGTCCTGTGATACAGGGAATTGGGCTAGGCACCAGGGTTCCTGGGATGTGTCTCCTAGGGTGGCAGAGAGTGTGGGGTGGCTGTTCATTGATGTTCCCCCAATGGCCTCCTCCTTTCTGGGCCTGCTGCAGTGGGCTCACCAGAGGGGCATGGCAGTGGTAGGCGCACTGGGGGTCAAGTTGTTGCTTTCTTTCTTTTTTTTTTATTTTTGTTCTTTTTGAGGCAGTGTCTCACTATGCAGTTCAGGCTGGCCTTGAGCTCACTTTGTAGCCCAAGCTGGCCTCAGATTCACAGTTGTCCTGCCTCAGCCTCCCAAGTGGGGCAACTGAGTTGTTTCTAATGAACTGACTATTGCATTTCTAAAGTTCTAAAATGATCAGCAAACCATAGAAAGATACCACTTTAGGCTCCTTCTTGAAACCAACAGCTTCTGAAAACTGCCAGCCTTGATTCAGGATCATATCTAAATTTTAAAGACTCTCCACATTCACTAATATAGAAATGTTTGGAGTAGCCTTAGATTTTGCTTAAATTATAATCCTATCAAGGTGTTTGTTTTGTTTTCTTTTGATGTATCCTCTTGCCTAAAGTTACCTGCCTTTTTAAAATTTGTGCTCATTTTTATTTTATTTTTCACTTGTCTTTGCTTTTTATTTTGGTGGCACTTAGGATTGAACTCATTAGACAAGCACTGTAACCTGAGCTCCAGCTCCAGCCTCTCTTTTAATTATTAAGATTTTGAGATCTCACTAAGTCACCCAGACTGGCCTCAAATTTTTGAACGCCCAGTCTCAGCCCTCAGGTAGCTGGCATTACAGATGTGAACCCCAAGCCTAGCACCAATTGCTTTTTGCTAAATTATGAAATTAAGTTTATTGAGGTATAATTTACAAACAAAATTCTTCTTTGTAGTATGTAAGCCTCTAAGTTTAGACAAAAGCATACGGTAGCCACCACCATAGTCATGATATAGAAGTTATATCACCTGGAAGTTGTCCTGTGCCCCTTGGGAGCCAACCCCTCCCTTCTTCTCCAGCCACTGACAGTGAGTGGTCTGTTTTCTTTCCCCCAAAGGATTTTTTTGTTTTGTTTTGTTCTGTTTTTGTTTTTGAGACAGCATCTTGCTAGGCAGTTCAGGCTGACTTTGAACTTACTACGTAGCTGAGGTTAGCCTTGAATTGTAGTGAGCCTCCTGCTTCAGCCTCCTGAGTGCTGAGTGCTGGGATTACAGGCTTGTACTACCACGCCCCACTTCCCCAAAGTTTTGTATCTTCTTGAGTGGCAAAAAAAAAACAAAGAAAAGCTGATCCACTAGGGTAAAAGTCCCTTTGAATCTTTAACTTAGTGAAATGCGTCTACCTCGAGCCACCTCTGCTGCGTGTCCTAGCACAGCGCTCCTTGTGTTTGCTGAGTACTAGCACTTGGCAGGGATGTGTCACATTACCTACTCCTCTGTCCGTCTAAGAACTTGGGATTATTTATGATTTGTGGAACTTATGAATAATCATTATAAAACTTGCTTGCAGAAAATTACATAAGGAGATGTTTTCATTTCTCATGTGTAAATACCTTGGAGTAGGATTGCTGGTTCATGTGCTCAGCGCATGTTAGATTTTGTAAGGAACGGTTAAACTGTTTTGGAAAGCGCCTGACTCGTGTTGCCTTCCCTCGTAGACTCTGGAAGAGCATGCAGTCCTTACCAGGACTGGTCGCCGTCAGTTTTTCTTGTGCTTGTTTGTTGTCTGCAGGTCTTTGGTGAAATGTCCATTCATATCTTTTGATTATTTTTAAAAATTTGGGTTGTTTTCCTATTGCCGAACTTTGAGAATTCTTTACGTATTCTAGGCTTTCCTTTTGTCAGATACTGTATGTTCTTACAGTTTATAAAATGTCTTTTTTATTTTCTTAATGTTGTCTTTAGAAAAGCAGGAGTCTTACATGTTCATGAAGCTGCACATGCTTCTTGGGATATTTAATGGATGGTCTTTCTTATCTCTAAATTTCTCTGCCATTACCCTTCCTCCCTCCCTCCCCCAGGCCCTGCAAACCATCATTCTCTTCAGCCCCTCTGGGTTTGATTCCTCCAGATACCACATAGTGGGGTGATCCAGGATCTGTCCTGGGGGGGTTGGCTTACTTCACTTGGCATAATGTCCTGTGGCTCCCCGTAAGCGTGTGTCACAATCTCCTTCCTTCGTGTATTCCCCTTGTTCTGGGTGCCCACCCTTCTGACTGCGATGGCGGTGCTTCTCCTGAGACCAGGGCTGCCGTGAACATGGGTGTGCAGAAAGCTGAGAGACCCTGCCTTCCCTCCCTCTCGGTGTACATCCAGAAGTTGATTAGTGGATCATATGGAAATTCTATTTTTTAACTTTTTGAGGAATCACCATACTGGTTTCCGTAGTGGCTACACCACTTTATATTCCTCTCGATAGTGCACAAGGGTTCCAGTTTCTCTGCATCCCTGCTGATCCTTGTTAGTTTCCTTTGATAGTAGCTGGTCTAATGGATGTAAGGTGATGTTTCGTTATAGTCTCCATTTACATTCTGTGGTGGTTGAATTTTAGCATCTTTATATGCTTGTTGGCCATTTGTATATCATCTTTGGAGAATTTTCTGTATAAGTCCTTTGTTCACTTTGAATTAGTGTTTTGTTGTTGTTGTTGTTGAGTTCCAGGAATAAACTGTTCTTTGAAATTAGTTTCTACAAAAGATGTATGATGGGGGGCCGGGGATTTAGCTCAGTAGCATAAGCACCTGCCTTGCAAGTGCATGGTCGTGAGTTTGATCCCTGGTATTGATAAAAAAAAAAAAAAAGATGTATGATGGGCTTAGCAATCTCAAAATCTGAGACAGTACCCGATTTTTAATTCTTTTTAACTTTGAAAAAAAATTGTTTTTTAACTTGAGCCATCATTTTTTAAACTCATTTTATTGTCACTTACTTTACCAACACCATGCCAGAGCTGCACCCAGCCCTCCCCCTGCTCAAATCGTGGTTAAAAAAAAAAAACCCACATACTGAAATTTACAGTCTTTTTTGGGGGGGAGAGTGAAATTTACACTCTTTTTTTTTTTTTTTTTGTCTTTATCCTTTCCGTTTTAAAACGTACTGTTATGAAGCAAAGGTTCTTTTTTTAAACCAGAGAAACAGGATTTTGTTTTATCTAATTACTCCATATAAATTACTGCATCTGTGATGAGGGCCAAGCAGGCTCCTTTGAGGTGACAGTGCCAACTGGTTGGCCAGGCTCACCAAGCATTTGTGACACCAGCATTACATGGTCATGTCAGTGTGTCTGCGTGAAACCCCAGATGGCATTTCCACCACGGTGTGAGCTCCTGCAGGTCAGGAACTCTCTCTACTCTGTTACCAGCTCAAGAACAGGACCTGGCACTCAGAAAGTAATGGTTGGGTACAGTTCAGTGGCCTTTGTGAAGGGCGAGGTGAGATGTCCTGAGGTATCCAAGGCTGTGGCGTCCAGACACAGCTGTGGCCTGAGGCTGGTACTGTGGTGGCAAGGCGTAAATCCTGAGGGACAGCCAGGACCCACTCCTAGGGGATCCACTTCTGGGAGTGTAGAGAGAGACTTCGAGGGCCCAGCCTTGATTGGCACCCCTTGATAGCTCTGGGTAAGGACGCCCCAACATCCTGGGAAGGGCGTACTGTAAAGAGAGCTGCGTTTCTGTAACTAGGTGACTTGAGTCCACTTTTGGAGTTTGGTCTGACTGGCCCGGCCACTCAGCGCTGTTCTGACCGCCTGGGGGCCACATCACTCCTTCCTGCCCCCTGAATGTCGAGGGGGATCAGGCCAAGGCTGAAGTCACTGGCAGAGCTGAAGCCAGGCTGCTGCGGTGAGGGCCAGCTCATTTCCAGCCCATCACCCCGAGTGTGTACTGGTGCTATTTTGGCCCATGGTGTGTGGTTTCAGCATGTAGGCCAGTTTCTAATCATGACACAGTCCCCTCCTAGGGGCCGAGTGATTGCTCCAAGAGCGGAAGCTGCTGAGGGGGTTCTCAGCTGCTGAGGCCTTCTCTTCCTTTGGAGTTTCTTACATTAAAGCTAACATGAGCAAAAAACCTGGAAGCTCTAGATTCAAGACGGAGGGAGACTCTGGAAAGGTTTGTGGGTGTGACATGTGTGTCAGTGGGGGAGGTGAGCGGGGGTGGCTTTGACCACGGGCAGGGAGGCAGCCATTCATGCAAAGTGGTCCCAGCTGCCACTGGTTTGCAGGCTTATCCCGGCCCTGCTCCAGCCTGTCATTCAGGGCAAGCCGCTGTCATTAGTGGTTAAGCATTCTGAAAGCGTTCTCTCTCAACTCTGACCGCATGCCCTTTTGCGGAAGGGAGGGAGGAGCCAGGAGAGTAATGGGACCCACCCTGTCGCCTTGCCCAGCTGCTGTGCAGAGGGACAAGGAGCCCTGGCCACTGGAAGCAATCACAGAGCGGCCACAGCCCGTGTGGCTGACAGGATTGATGTTGCATTTCAGTACTGCCTGTGTAGGGCCTGTTGCTCCTTGAGGGACATGGCCTGGCCTGGGCCTTCGAGGTCCAAATCTGGAGGCCTTTTTGACCTTGTCAGGGGATTCTTGGCTGAAATAAAGCTTGTTAGTCTGTTGTATCTCTCCCAGACTCTCTGCCACACATGCACATACTCAGACCCCTCCTCCCATGCATGGAACCAGGCTGGCCGGTTGCTAAAGACCGCCCTTCCTTTTGGAACCAGTCTGTGCGTATTCTGCTTTCGATGAGGAGTTTGTGGTAAAGTGCTTAATACTAGTGTTTCTTCCTATGAAGTGGGAACTTTGAAACAGTTTTCTTTGACTGAGGTATAGTTGACAGATTTTGATTTATGAAATTAGCTCAAGGAAAAATGGGATGGAAAAAGAGTCCAAAGTGAATCTGTGTTTCCATGGTTCAGTTGTACCCTCTCGGTTTTTAACTGCCACATGGTCTCTAGGTATAATGGCCTTTAGGGTTTGCTAGTCTCTCGCTGCCTCTCTGTCTCTGTCTTGTCTCCATCTCTCTCTGTCCTTCAGACATCTGCTTTTTTCTTTTAAAAATAGTGTGTTTTTTTCCCCTTAGCCAAAAGTATATAAGTTCAGTGAAAGACACTGGAAATATCTAGAACACACACAAAGGCAAAACCAAAGCATCCATATTCCCAGCACCCAGAGATAATCACCGCTGACACTGAGGTTTACATCAAGCCTGTCAGAAGAATCTGTCACTGAAAAGGCAGGCCATGGGGCAGTTCGTATTGCCGCCAGGAGCCTCCTGCTCATTGTGCTATAGACTGTACCAGAAGCTCAACAACTGAGATGCTCTGGTGGGCGTGGGTCCTCCCAGCAGGGAACTCCCTGGGCTTACCATGGCCCGTGAAAGAACAGCCGAGGGAGAATCCCGCATTAGTCGCCTTCCCACCTCATCCTCCAGCCAAAGACGGTAGGTGGCTGGACTTGAATCCATGTCTCATAGCTTATTTTTCCTTCCTTCCTTCCTTCCTTCCTTCCTTTTGTACCAGGGATCGAACTCAGGACCTTATGCTTACCAGGCAAGTGCTTGAGCCACTGAGCTAAAACCCCTGGCCCTCATAGCTTATTTTCTGTAGATACCAATAAGCTACTTTTAGCGGCCATGTTAAATGAGATATGTGTAGAGTGTGTAGTGCTAGAGTATAATGTTACAGCTCCATGAATATACTTCTTTGGGGATTGTCATTTGGTTGTTCTAGTATAGTCTGTGGTTCCCTGGGCCTTTGTTTCTCTGCCTGGAGAGAGGTAGTCTTCTTCTCCAGGTGGTTTTTAAACCATCTCACTATTAAAAAGTAGGGTAGAATTACTAAGATGTAAGATAATGTCCTTTGGTGAAAGAGGTGGACCACAGAGCAGGGAGGCTTAGACACTGTCCCCGAGCGAGGGACGGCATGCCACAAAAGGAACTTGCAAACACACTCTGCTGTGGCCTCGTGTTCTCTGAAGATGTCTTGTAGGTTTTTGTTTCCCTTGTGACTTAGATTCATTTCCGCATTGGTCCTCATTTACGTGCTGAGCTGTTGAGTCATCTTTGCTAGGTAAAATGTCACCATACATGTTGACTACAGTTGTGTCATCCCCCTGGACCTCTATTTCAAGGGAATTTATCTTTCTAACTATACAGAAAGTTGATTTGGAGAAGTTCGGTCTCTTTTTGCCTAATGGGAGAAATTTTTCATCTGCAGCCTGTCTAGTGAATCTTATTTATTTTTAACTTTTTAGACCAGCAAAAATAATGTGATGGTCACTGGCTATTTGGCCAGTTATTTCAGATGTGGGGGTAATACACTCTAGATTTGTTTACTTCAAGTGGAAAAGTTTACACAAAGCTGCCTTTTGGGCTTCTACCAAGAAGGAAGCTTTCCTGGGCCTCCGCTTGGAGCCAGCTTCTTTTGAGTCAAAAACTGGAGGGGCTGTTAACGGGCTTGTTACCAATACATAGCAAGAGAAGGAGGACGATGGTGACTGAGGAGTGATACACTCCTTTCCTTCTCAGGGTGACTTATGTCTGTTCACTTTTACTTTGAACTCCCAGAACGCACAGACACTCAGGTGGTTCAGCCAGGACAGCCGCAGCAACCGTCGATCAGAGCCCTGGGACGAGGAACCGGCACCGCCAGCCCGTCAAGAACCCCAGCCACAGCGGCCTGGCCAATGGCGCAGGTGAGTGACCGCCAGAGCCCCCGTGTGGTCTGCAGCTCTGCCCCTCACTCGGGCCTCCACGGAGCGGGGCTCTGCCCAACCTCCGGGTCCTAATGCAGGGCGGGGGAGAGGAGACCCCTTCACCTCTGTCTATCACTGGAGCACCTTCTTTGACCCCTGCTTTCTTCTGGGGAGCCCAGGGCTTTCCCCACATTCCTGTGCTCCTCTGTATTCATCTGTACGGAAATTAAAAGTGTTTTTGTATTCATTTCTTATCAACATTGGATTTCATTTGGGAGATATTTATGCATGAAATTAAAAAAAAGATTTCCTTATTTTAAGGAAATTCTCAGACTAGGGCAAAGGAGAGTAAATTTGCTGCTCAGAGCTGAGTGGGGAAGATGGCAGTGCTGCTGGGGGTTGGGCTGCTGACCAGTGTGGAGCCAGGTTACCACTGGGGCGCTGAGGACTGTGCTGCCGCCCTCCACTGCCGGGCCGTGGAGAAGAGACAGTCTATCCTGTCCACAGCCGAGTAGAGCTTCTCTGCACTTGGCTGTGCTTCCCTGTAATTGGGAGCAGAAGGACCTGCTTCCAAACAAACCATTTTCTTGTCCTGTCTTCCCTGTGTCTCAATGGAATTGTCAGAAAAGAAAAAGAAAAAAAGCATTCATTTTCTAAAATTATTGAAGATCATCAGATCTTTAGTGACTGCAGGCCATTTTTCTTAATTTGGGACAGATGGGGAGACAGATGGGTGTTTTTCCTTCCATAAACTACAGCTAGGGGATGACAGATGTTTAAATTGGTGATGCTGAAATAATTTTGTAGGTGCTCATCTGTGATTGCAGAAGTGTGACACGAAGTACAAGCGATCCAAAGCCACATGGTTTTGTCACATAAGCATAACCATGGCATTGGTACTGACCTATGTGTGACAAAATCACTGAGTAGAAGAAATCTAATTTGTATTAACATTCAGCCAGCATTGGTGGCTCACACCAGTAATGCCCGCACTCAGGAGGCTGAGGCACGAGGATCGCTGTGAGTTCGAGGTCAGCCTGGGCTACAAAGTGCGTTCAAGGCCAGCCTGAAATAACACAGTGCAAACCTGTCACAAAAACAACAACAAAACACACACACACACACACACGCACTTTCAGTTCTTTGCCGGCACTGTAAGGGGCTTCAGAGCCAGCCCCTCTGGTAGCTTATGTTGCCTGGTTAGCGTGTAGTCCACAAGGGACTGCGTGGTGGGGGTGGCCTGTGTTCAGCAAGGCTCACTGTGACTTGACTTCTCTGGAGTTTGGGACCTGGGGAACAGAGTTAGCTGGCCCACCCTGAGCCTTGGGGACGTAATGAGCAGCCACCAAGGAGTCCAGCAGCCGCTGTCTCAGCCTGCCTGGGGTCTGTGCCAACCACCATATCTGTGTGCTAGCACCTTCCTGTCTGCATGGAAGGCGATAGTGGGCTGGCAGCTGTGTGTAGCATATGCGGCCTTGTGGGCGCCTGTAAATACCCTTGTCTTAGAAAACTAGGTTGCTTGTGGAGGAGGGCCAGCCTTTGCAAATGGAGAAAGGGAACTGGCTGCTTCTCAGATGCAGTGGCTGAGCTACCAGCACTTATACTTCCGGGAGGCCACTTGCCTGTGACAGTGGTTTCTCTTGACCATTTTGCGTTTCTTATAAAAACTATTAGGAAATTGACTGTATATGGTGATGACGGTTGAGTCCATCTTCTCGGACATTTATACAAATCTTTATTTCCCCTACATGTATTTTTAGGTACCTTCAGGTCCTTACCCTTATCTCCAAGAACACGGTGTTCCAACAGATGAGGCAAGTGCCAGTTACACTTTAGAAAGCCCAGTGTCTCTGACCCCAGACTGCCTTGGAAATGCGGCATGGTTATGATCTGAGTGCCAAGACTACCTAAAGCCCATCCGTGTGGGGCAGTGGTTGTACTCTGGTCATTTTTGCCCACTCAGATACTCGGGACTGGGCCTGTGCCTCTCCCCTTTCTTCTGTGATGATGGATTCCCTTTACCTCACGGGCAGCCTGGACTTCAGAGGCTCTTCCATGTTTGTCCAAAGGGTACAGAAAGACTTCTCCTGTGCTTTGAGGAGAGATAGAAGTTGCCCTTTTAGACACTGAGGGACAGAAGAGGGTTGAGGGTATGAATGGGGACATCTTCCTCCCTTAGAGTGTTGCCCTTGGGCCTGCGAGCAGCGGGTCTGCGGCCGTGCAGGTAGCAAGCCGGGACTCCTGCAGGAGTTTTCACAGACGAACATGATTTGGCTGCGTTGCAGTTATGCGTGAAAAAGATATTTGGGACAAAACCAGAGCTGAGTTCCAGGTGGTTTTCTCATGTTGTCACAACTGTAAAGTAACCATTTTTATAAGACAAGAGTGAGTGGCAGCCCACCTGAATACATGTATTTTTAAGTTTTAGAAGTGGTGGAACCGAGAAACAGACTAATGGTACAGCACCGCGTTGCGACTTGTGTGCAAGGGTTTGCTTTCTAATTTTTGTTGAAAACCTTAGCAAAAATTTCATCTGCTACTTCTCTCTTAAATGCAGTTTCCATGCACGTTGGTCACACTGGCTGCGGGGAAGTTTATGTACAAGGCCCAGGGACTTTCTAGGCCTTAGTTTTCTCATTTACTCAATTAGAGCAAGTGTACCCAGCTCGTAAGTTGGGACAAGGAATAAAGTGTATAAAACATACAGAGCGCTTGGCCAGGTGCCTGGCACGTAGCTTCTACCTTCATGAACAATTACATACTTATAATTATGCAGTATGAGTAGATATTCTTGTTTACGTTGTTATTTTCTTATACATGCATCCATCTATGTGCCGTCTTGCTTATTTTTTTTTTTTTTTTGGAGTGGCTTCTTTTCAGTTAATTTGCCGTAATTCATGTAACCATTCTGCAAATTTGTATTTTCATACTATAGAAGAAAATCTTTCTGTAAACATCATCGCATACAAGCTATTTCTCCTTGAATGAGACTTTGTTTTGTTTGGGTCTTGCTCTGTTGCCCAGGCGCACACTCCTGCCTCGGCCGTCTGAGTGGCTGGAACTGCGGCACGTTCACCATGTCTGCCTCTTGAGTGGAAGTCTCAAGCCAAAGAATATGAATTTTAAAAGTTGAGAGTTAATGTGCATTATCAGATTGCCTTCCAAGAAGGTCATTTACATGTCCAAAGCAGTATAAATTTTTTGTAAAGTGGTGTAAAAGGTATTTTCCCCTTTGCAACCTTGTAGATGCTAGTTTATCATTTTTGCTATTAAGTGCCACCTCATGGTTTATCCCATTGCATCTTCCTTTCTCTCTCTCTCTCTCTCTCTCTCTCTCTCTCTCTCCTTCTTTTTTTCCTTCTCCCTCCCTCCTTTTCTTCCCTTTTCCTTTATTTCCCTTTTGCTTCTCCTGTGCTGGGAATCGAGCCTAGGCAGCGTGCACCCTCATTACATCCTCTGCCACTGAGCTGCGTCCCAGCCTTAAATTAATTTTGCTTTGTATTGGGATCCTATTATTGCAGAGGCATTAATTTAGTAGCATTTCCACCATGCTTTTACTTAGTGTTCATCACTTTCTACTTTCTTATGTACAGTGAGGGTTTCTTGTTTTGAGCAAGTCCTATGATTTCAATTATTGCTATAGGTTTTTTTGTTTTTTGTTTTTTGTTTTTTTTTGGTACTAGGGATCGAACTCACTACCTGGCGCTTGCCTGGCAGGCACTTACACCACTGAGCTAAATCCCCAGCCCCTTATAGTATGTTTTTTTAATGTCTGGGAGGACTAGTTCTGCCTTATTACTTTTTCTCTTTGATAGTTCATAGCTTTGCACAACAAATTTCAGGCTTTGAATTCTTAGAAGCCTGCTCGAATGTAAGTGGAAACTGCATTCATCTGTATATTAACCAGGAAAGGGATTTAATTTCCCTGTCAATTACCAGACGTGACTCTGTTCATTGTTCAGGTGTTTCTCCTTTTTTGCCTTGTAACTCAACTGTTTGCTTTGTAAGGCTCACCTGTCCTGTGCCGTGCGAATGAGGCATTCTGGTCTTGGTTGCTGTTGTGATGAGCTGTTTTCGCAGCTGCATTGTGAGGGCAGGGGGCCATGTCTTGCAGGCGACCGGTCTCAATTGCTTCAAGGAGTCAGCTAGGAGCCTGACTTTAGTTGGAAAAGACTTTGTTGGGGGTGACTGCTTTCCATGCCCCTGGATGCAGGGGCTGAAAAGACCCATGTGTGCACCCCAAGTTTGGGCTTGGCCACTCACATGTGCATCCAGCTCACAGCCTATCAGGGATTAAGAAAAAGAATTTCCAATCAATTCCTGATCTGTTTTTTGGCTGAATATAACTACAGCATGTCTTGATTCTGAATGAATATGTGATTCATTACAGTTGGCGTGTTTAACCAGCATCATAGAAGGAGCCTTGTGAAATACCCATTGTCCCAGCAACCAGAACCTATTCCGCTGTTTCACTTACTTATCCTATCTACCTTTGGTGCCCGTATGGGACACCATCGAAGCCACCCTCACCCTCTCCCGTCCCCATTTTGAGCATTGGTTTGAGTATTGGATCTGCTGTTTGCTAACTGCATGGTTCCTTTCTGAGTGATCTCTCAGTGAGCCTCAGTGTTGGCTTCAGGGAAATGGGAAAATATTTTCCTTATGAGTCTATTGGGAGGATAAATGAGCTAATAAATATGTACTTGCCGAAGGCGGTGAGGAATCCTGGATTGGATCCTGGAATAGGAAAGGAGCTGGAAAAATCCAAATAGAGTCTAGAGTCTGGTTAATAATAATAATGTATTAATATTTTAACTTTGACAGATGTGTGTTGATTATATAAGATGATACTCTTACTATAATTCTAGCACTTGGGAGGCTGAGGCAGGAACATTGCAAGTCCAGCAAAGCTTGGGCTACATAAAGAGACCCTATCTCAAAAAGAAAAAAAAGGGGCTGGGGATTTAGCTCAGCGGCATAAGCACCTGCCTTGCAAGCAG